ATGACAAAGTTGCACTTTTGGCCATTCAGCTTTCCTGTCACGTAGACACTATGTGTGCTTGGCATTTTACACCTAGCTGTTGGGCCTTTCATGATGGGGGTTGGTGGGCGTCCCTCAACACCAACCACTACTGGTTTTCCCGAGGCTGACTTATTGGTAATATTCTTTTTACACTGGCTCCTCATATGTCCTTGCTCTCCACAGTTCCAACAACCTTTCTGGGTAGCAGCCTTTCCTGCTGTGGCATCTTCCCTGTGTTGAAGTTGCCGGCATTGAGCTCTCCATGTGCCCTGGTTTGTTACAGTGCCAGCAAAGTCCCTCAATTTCTCTGAAAGCTGCCCTTTCCTGGCCTTGAATCCTGATGATTGTACCAACCTTGGTACCTCTGTGCTGGACTTAATGTAGAATTCGAATTCAAGAGCTTTGGCCATTGCATCCTGCATAGTAGAGGGGTGTGCTTGCTTCACTTGTATCTTCAGTTGTGGAATGTCTAAAGCATCTACAAACTGATCCCTCAGCAACAACTTGAGGAGATCGGTTGGTGCAGTTGGGTAGGCCTTGTATGCCATACTTTCCACATCCTGTGCCAGCTCTTGCAGGCTCTCCCCTTTAGCATGGACTCTAGTCCTAAACCTAGGTCTGTAGACTTCGGACTGATTTTGAGTTCCATACCTGAGTTCTAGAGCAGCTTTGAGTGCTCTATAGTTGTGCCTGTCGTCTGCTGACAACTGTCCAAGTATTTCCAGTGGTTGACCCTTCAAGCTCGTTGCCAGTTATACTGCTTTCTGCTCCTCTGTCCATCCATTAATTCCTGCCAGGAACTCACATTGTGCTCTATATGCTTCTCACAGTGCCTTCCCATCGAATTCCTGTGGCTTCCTTCGTACTAGATCACTCCTATTGCTGACACCCATGTCTGGAATGTGACTTCTGACAGAACTGAAGATGTCTGGATTAGGGTTCAGCTGCGGGGTCTGGAAGGGGCTTTCTGTTGTCTGAGGCTGATTAGGTCGATAGCTAATATATCCTCCCCGTGTAAAAGACAGTAAATCATCCTTTAATATATTTAATTCGCTTTGAAATTTACTAATGTTTTCCATGTGTGTGCTCTGGCTTTCTCTCAACTGTTGGAGACTTTCTTCTTGTTTATTTTCTTTCTCTTCCAACCACTGCTGTAGTCTCTCTTCTTGTTTCTTTTCTTTTCCCCCCAACAACTGCTGTAATCTCTCTTTTTTATTTTGCTGTTTGAACTGCCACTGTTGCAGGTTTTCTTGCCACTTCTATTGTCTCTCTTCTTGTTTCTTTTGTTGTTCTTGTGTTGCTGCCATCAAATCTGCTAAGCTGTAGTTTGATTTGACACTTCTCGTTTCGATCTTCTTCTTTTTTTGTCCCACTCTCTGACACCAATTTGTTACGTATCTGCTTGTTTGTTTGTTTCTGGTAGAAATTCTTTCCGAGGAACTTCAGCGATACAAGTCCTTTCTTGATTAAACCAGTTTACTCTTTCTCGATACAAACTTTTAGTACACAGAAGTTCCATAACAAATATGAACAGAAGAAAGCTATTGGAATTCATAGAAGAAACAAATGTGACATTACTAAATGATAAAACACCAACATCGTATGTATGTGTATGGAAGTAGTGAAATACTTGATTTATGTTTATACTCCTTTGATATAAGCTAAAAGTTTCTTAAATTTAGAGTAGGGCAAGATATCAATCGCTATCACTTGCCAATATAGTTTGTCTTCAGTCTCACCCCCCATAAAAACAATCCCTAAAAAACTGAAAAATTTAATTATAAAAAGACAAACTTGAACAAATACAAATGACTATTAGATCAAGTACTATCAAAACAAATTATCGTTACTGCAATAGAGCAGACAGAAATTGATGCAGACTTTCAAGCATTTACCGAGAGCCTTACCAAAACAGCTAAAGAAACAATACCGACACACAAACACTTAGCAATAAACTAATAATAAAGACAATACATACAAAACAAAGACCCAGCAATTAAGACACAAATAAATGCTACAAGAAATACAATAAAAACAGAAGTGAAACCTTTAAAACAAGAACAATGGAACAACTGCTGATCACAACAAAATATCAAAACTGAATTGAAATTGTTCTGGACCCATCTAAAATGATTCATAAATGGAGAAAAAGCAACACATAAATATTCACCACTAGAAATCAATAATATAGTAGCACACACACACATACACAAAGATAAAGCAGGAGCATTCAAAGAACAATTACAGAGCACCTTTGGAACACATCATGAACCAGGCATGAATACTCACTTCTATAATGAAGCATACCAATTTGTAACAAAAAACAAAGAAATGCACAAACCACTTTTCCCAATAAATATAAGTAACATTAAAGCAACAAATGACGAAACAAATAACTACAATACAACAGAAAATGTAGCTAAAGAAATAACAGTAACAGAAGTTCAACAGGCAATAAAAGCAACAAAAACAAAGCTCCAGGAGAAGATGATATACAAGCCATCCTCCTTAAAAAAGGCACTAAGAAATTGATTGAACACCTCACAGCACTTTTTAATCTATCATTAAAATCAGGATATATTCCAGTTTCTTGGAAGCAAGCAAACATTTTAATGTTCCATAAAGAGGGGAAGCCAGCCAATAAACCAATCAGCCTGACTAGCACAATAGGAAAAATACTAGAATGAATAATAAGCAACAGACTATCCACAGTTCTGGAAATAACTTCAAAATTACCCAAAGTACAAAACGAATTCAGGAAGTACAGACAGACCATCTAGTTAAACTCATAGAATCAATAATAGAGAGCTTTAACAAATAACAATGGACTGTCACATATTTTCTCGATATTGAAAAAGCATTCTACATTGTATGGCATAATGATCTTATGTTTCGTATGTCAGAAATGGAACTACCGCATAGTATTATTTACTGGCTATCCAACTCTGTAGAAGGAACCTTCTTGGAATTTTTTATTCCTGAGGCAGGTGTCCCACAAAGAGGAGTAGTTAGCCCTACTCTATTCATCATGTACGTTAACAACATGCCCTAAATGATCTAAACCATGGGTATTCATCGCAGTTCACAGATGATGTAGCAGTTTGGAAAAGTGCTCCCACCCCATCGCAGCCACAAATATCCAACCTCAATTAAATAGAATAACAGAACCCTGCCAAAAATATCGAATTAATATCCATGTACCTAAGACACAACTGGTCGTTTTCGCATAATTAACTAAACATAAAAAAGACCCTCCAGAACCGTATATGAACTGAGCACTTCTCCAGACAAAAACATTAGATAAATTCCTAGGTCTAACTTATGACACAAAATTAACATGGATTGAATGCATAAACAATATAAAAACCAAAGTTTGGCAGTGTATGGACTATGCAAGGAGTCAAACAGAGCAACAGCAGAAAACATAGTAAAAATTATTCAAAACATACATATGACCAGTAATAGAATATGCAGCACCAGCTTGGATAAATATAATACCAAAACAAATTAAAACTAAATTACAAACACTACAGAACACACTACTTACAACGACATACAGAGTACCTAGATCAACTTTCTCAGCATCTATGCACAATTAAGCAAATGTAGAAATACTGTTACGACAGCGGAGGTCACGTGACGCTAGTAACACGTCATGCGCTTCTCGAACGTTCACGTCCCTTCCTGAAATCTCGAGAGCCTACTAGATATGGGGTAGTCTTATATATATAAACCGGTAAGAACTGACGGCAACAAAGTAATGTGTAACTGAACTGCAGACAGAGAGAGAGTATTGTTGAGTGGAGCACGTGAGACGTTTGTTGTGAATTATAACATTTGTTACAGCGCGACTGTGGAAATTAAGTGTATGGCAAAGTTGTATTCAGAAAGAATAACCAGTTTTATTTAAGAAAGGACTTGTATCGGTAAAGTCCTTTCTTAAATAAAACTGGTTTATTCTTTCTG